CCAACATACTGCAAGACAAGAGAGCGCCAGTAGTACCAAGAAAGTCTTCATGGTGAGAGTGATGCTCATGTCTTGAAACAGCACAGCTTTTATACACATCCAGTCCCAAACCAGATGGCTCCTCATTACATCGCAGTAATTACCACTGCTGACTGTGTTATTGTTTGTATTGTCATCGAGATAGTTCTGCAAGTTAAAACGTGACTCTTCTGATTCAGTCATTTAGTTTTCATTATATGTAATTCCTAACTGGACAAAGACTGAATTTTACATATGCTATGATTTACACGTTTTGTTAAAGTAAGGCTGCAAACAGCAATTGAAGCCTCACGTTGCAATTACATTTCATTACATATCATATTACATATCATTACCTGCATCTGTGGCTTGAGATATTATCTTGAAGACGTTGAATGCAAGCATGACATATTATAAACTAAATGATATGGATTTAAACAGATGGTGTAATACAGTGTACGTGCATGTGGAGACAATGTAGACCATTTCATCGGCTTTTGTTTGTATAATACCGATTACATATTCATGGAGGCATGGTAAGCATATTTCATATTGTTTAAATGTAGCAATATTAATTTATAGATGTAAATATGAGATGGGTGAGGCTGTTATATTTCTGGTTCAGGTTCGTAGATCTGAGGAAGGAGACATGAGATCAAATACAAAACTGAAATGACCCTGTCTTCGGGTTTCAAAGTCATGTCAAATGTTGATAGTTCGTTTCTTTTCCGTTGTTACAATTGCTTATGTACTTAAAAATCCTCAACGTGTTAAATATAATTTAACAAACGAAATTGTGAATATGAATGTCCAATAAAAGTGAAAACATGAAAGTGTCCGGAAGCTGGAAAATATATTAACGTCAGTGAGTGATAAAATAGTGCTTAAAGCCGCATCAATTCGCAGCTACACCGTCAGTTATAGAAATAATCACAGACCAGTGAGTTTCTCCATGATGCGACATCATATACGGCTAGCATATTCATTCAAAAATTCTAACAGACCAATTTCTAGCAGTCGGCTAAAATGAGCTTGTCTGATGTTTTACTCGACACCATATTCGCTAGTTTAGGCCATAAAATATTAATTAATAGATTTTCTTCCGCTCCCGCCTGACTACAAAACACCCTGTCTTACATTATTCTTTCGTCTCCAAGTTCCAAGAAATAGAAATGCATTTGTACCAATGATATTTGTGTTTCTGTGGCAGCCATGATAAAGTGGAGACTACGGGTTATGAGTGAGATATCTGTTATTTCCATATCGTTGTGGACGAAGACACCCTGTAATAACAATAATATACACGATATATACAACATAAAATCACATCTGATTAACATGTCATCATAATAAATATAGTGCATAAATGTGCCTATCAACAATCATATACAGGTATTACTCGATGCAATATAACACAAATGACTTACGTGATCACATGTTTACAGTGATATACAAAATGAGTGTTGACATAAAGACTTATAATAATACATGGTATAATAATGAAATAGACAATAGATACTGTACAAAGAAACCTATCCTGTGGGTGACACGAGAGTGTGTCTGCACATCCAGCAGCCGAACAGTCAACGCATGCAATAATCCCATATAGGTACCACACACTGATCAAATGTAATCTTTGTCAAGTACATACAATATACATGATAGATGAGATATATCGATCTTACATGATACAGAAAATAGTTACCAAACAAGAACTACTAGCCAGCATATTGACTACACATAGAGAAAACAAACCATAAGCACATTCATACAAGTTAAATGGTATACTGTGTATTGACTTTTATTTTGTTTATCATGGGCATATTTATACCTATTTTGTGTAATGATTAATGTTAGGGTTTAATTTACTATATGTAACAATTAAAATGTATAATAACTACCTTTGATTCTGACCAAACTGTGACACAGAATTGTACATGAAACACAAAGAGACCCGTGAAGGTCCGGGTTAGAATGAACCTTCAGTAACCCATGCTTGTCCTAAGAGGTGACTAACGGGATCGGGTGGTCATGCTCGCTGACTTGGTTGACACATGTCATCGGTTCCCAATCGCGCAGATCGATGCTCATGCTGTTGATCACTGGATTGTCTGGTCCAGACTCGATTATTTACAGACCGCCGCCATATAGCTGGAATTTTGCTGAGTGCGGCGTAAATCTAAACTCACTCACTCACTGAAACAGAAAGACAAGAGGCAGCTGAACTGACAACTAATTGTAACTTAAATTCATCATATCCTGATATAAGATAATGATGATTTGTTATTCATTTTTGTACACAATATACAACCACTCGCGCGGTGGGCGAGCTGGTTAAAGTGCCGGCTAGTGATCCAGCGAGGTTGAGGTGTCGGGATCGAGCCTATCTGTGACCGGGTGTAAACTCCTTGCAGTCAGCTTTGTGTGCAGAATCTTTCAGTGTTGTCCCAACCCGAAGTGCACAGTACACAACCCAGTGCACTTAAAAGAACCAACGAATCCGTTGGTATATGACCAGATGGTGGTCACATGAATACGTGCAAACACTTAGGTACAGCAACGTGAAGTCAAATTGGACAAAGTACCGTGACTATGTGTCCCAGTCCACCCAGCTGTGAATGGGTATCTCGTTAGGATGAGAAAGTCACAATAAACTCGGTGCGCCTAGAGGCAGCAAGAGTTGTATACTTCCAAGGGAGTTGAGATTGATAATACTATGTGCCGTTGAGATTGACATCCAAATAAACGAGGGAAAAATATACTAGCGCCTTGAGCAAGGAGTAGTTGCGTGGATATGTGCGATATATAAATATAAATATCCTATGATGTTAATAATAATCATTCATCCCTGTTACATTCCTAATTTCTTTACTTGATGAAATACTCCACAAACATAGCCCTCCTGAACATGCTTGATGCATGTGAATCGAATCCTTCGACAGAATAAAAAGTGAAAAAAAAAGAAGTAAATTATTCTTCTTCTCGCCTCCCATTTCTTTTTAGAAAATAATCAAACTCTGTATTTAAATTTATTGCGGCCTTACCTTCACAAGCTCGGCATGCTAATATTGGAAATTAACCCCCATTCACAGCCCGGGTACGTGCATTGCTCTGAATAAGTGAGTGAGTTTGGCTTAACACGACTTTCAACAGTATTTATCTTTCAGTTATATCACGGATTGTCAGCTCGATATAGGATGAAACCCACCAACATAGGTTTTATTAATCACAAGATAAAAACATATCATATGAAATATCAATATATCAAATATTGCACCAAACATTACCAATTACAAATGTAAGAAAGGCAAGATTTATGGATGTCAATTTCTTTATGTGACTAACACGACGTTTCGGAGCGTATGCTTGCTCCTTCACCTGATGAAATGCCCTTCAAAGATTTAATTACAAATACATATTCAATTCTGACATAGTTAAGTAATTACTTTATCAATATCACTATAAAGTCACAATTCATTTTACACATATTACATTTTTTTAAGCAAGTTTCATTTCATGAGAGACCCTATCTAAGTACTACAACATATCAATGTTGCCAACCGCAAGTCTGTGTTTCAGGCGGACAGTTCTCTTTGGAGGTCTTGATATTTCTTTTTCTTTGGGGGAAGTCTCTGGCCAGCACTGTATTGTAACATGTTCAGTTCATTAATGTTTTGCTCCTCCAACAAGAATTGTATCCTCTTGTTTACTCTGTACATGTATCCTTCAGCACACAAGTACCAACCACCACGTGAAGTAGGAAGGAACTTGTAATTAAACTCTTAACTGTTCATGAGCCATTGTGAAAATGATACTAGCTATTGTAACTTAATGGTATTTATACAATATGTAAGACATGAACGTACTGTATGGCACTGATTGAGTGAACACATTAATCAGTATCATTATAATCTCAGTGAGCTAAACTCAAATGGAAATCATATTCCACAACATAGTTCAGAATTTCACAGCACCCAGTGACTTAATCCCTTATAACAACACCGGCACAACATCACGGAGACTATACTATAACAACAAAATTCTACTTCCCGGGAATCGTGGCCTAATCGTGGCCTAGTGTAAACGCAGCATTACGTAAACACTAGCTTTTGACAAATCCGCTTTGCAAGATAAAATTAATCAATCCGTCAGCGTATTATCGGTTAATCCTTTGATCGATGTTTGTTTTTATAATTCAGGTGATAATTCCTCTTCCTGCACTTCCATGGGCACATTACATAACGTGTAATACATTTGTCGGATCAGCCCTTAATTTATAATGTTGAGTATTCACTGCAGACACGAGAAATGCCAAATGGGAACATTTGTCGGGTAATCTAAGTGGTGTTACCGCTAATGATATCTGTTATAAATTCATTAATATAACTGATCATGAAGTGAATGATGACAAAGAACATGTGTATGTTTTATACCACCAAACACGAGTTACAGCTAGGGAGTAGTAATCGCTGTATTAAACTTATGGCCGGCACTGTTTTGAGGATACGAACGGAACTTCATTGTTGCATAAGAAATACATATAAGCATTTGCTGGTCACATGCAACGGAAAACACAACTTTGCAGATTCTGACACCTTTCGGTATGGACTTACAGAAAAAAGCAATGCATCAAAAATGCAAATTCAACTTATAAAGTTGAAAAATAACGCGATGAAAAAACCCTAAACGATTCACTAATTTCACCGCAGCGTTGGGGTGAAAAGTGGTTTCAACACACACATAAAACAAACAAAAACACAATTTAGTTTAGTTTATTTTGCTGTATATTGTTTCAGAGTTTTAAACTTTTCATCAATATAATATATAATTTTGTTCAGTTGTTCAGTTCAGGCTGTTTTCAGTTATGGTCTAGAAACGAAGATTAGAAATTGAGGCAGCTAGAAACAAGCTCACCTTGCGTGAAAGTTAGTTCCTTCGTGGAGGAGGTTGCCTTTCTCCGCCAGATCCTTCACCTCCTTGACCTCCGGGTCCTTGTCTTTCCTGACCTCTCTGACTTCCGGGTCCTTGTCTTTCCTGACCTTCTTGACTTCCGGGTCCTTGTCTTTCCTGACCTTCTTGACCTCCGGGTCCTTGTCTTTCCTGACCTTCTTGACTTCCGGGTCCTTGTCTTTCCTGACCTTCTTGACTTCCGGGTCCTTGTCTTTCCTGACCTTCTTGACTTCCGGGTTCTTGTTTTTCCTGACCTTCTTGACTTCCGGGTCCTTGTCTTTCCTGACCTCCTTGACCTCCGGGGCCTTCATTTCCCTCTCCACCTGGACCGCCGGGGCCCTCTCCTCCTGGACCTCCTCGACCGCCAGGGCCTTCATTTTGCTCCCCTCCTGGACCTCCGGGGCCTTCTTTTTCTTGATATGGATATGGATTTAAACAGGTGGTGCAATTCAGTGTACGACTGCCCATAGCGGTAAAAACGTGCATGCAAATATTGCTGGTTACAAAATTGGAAACTAGTACTTTATGACAACTTGAGAAAAAAACTGTTCATCGTGCAGTTTGTGGAGACAATGTGGACCATTTCTTCGGCTTTTGTTTGTATAATACCGATTACATATTCATGGAGGCATGGTAAGCATATTTCATATTGTTTAAATGTAGCAATATTAATTTATAGATGTAAATATGAGATGGATGAGGCTGTTATATTTCTGGTTCAGGTTCGTAGATCTGAGGAAGAAGACTTGAGATCAAATACAAAACTGAAATGACCCTGTCTTCGGGTTTCAAAGTCATGCCAAATGTTGATAGTGTGTTTCATTTGCAGATTTCTTCTAAAGATAACACACCAGAACATTTGCAATACGTTTCTGACTGTACGAACATATTTTGCTTTAATGTTTTCTTCATGACTTGTCTAGACTAAAGCTTTCTAAATGCTATCTACTCATGGAAGCACAAACATATTTCCCAGTGTTTAAATGCAACAATATTACTCAGAATTCTTGATTCATAGTATCTAAACGTGGATAGAAGAGGCGTTTTCACGGGTATCTTCTATTTCTGGTTCAGGTTGTTGAATCGGGAAGGTATTGGCTATTCGATGAATGTTTGTTCGGACCGTTAAGAAGAAATGAAAACCAGTACAAAATAGGAATTACCATGTCTTCAGGTTCCAGAGTCATATTAAGTTTTAGTACCGATGCAACGTCTGAAGGGCGTTGTTATTGTGTATTCATATATTTCTAAAAGGCATTTGACAGTGTTCAGCATCACTTGTTGAAATATGTATTATTGCAGAGAGGTGTGAAAGGTAAATTTTTCAGTGTTATTTCATCTCTGTACAGTCTTGTGTACTTGTAAATGGGTCTTCACTATCTGAGTACTTTGAGTGCAAAATTGGAACCAGGCAAGGGTGTATGATAAATCCACTTTTGTTCACTTTGTTTTTGAATGAGTTGGTAGATAATCACAGGTCAAACAATTGCAAGGGTACTTTTGTGAGTGAGTATGCTGAATATATTACCTTGTTAATGTTTGCAGATGATATTGCCAATGATGGTGATTCTGTGGAAAGATTACAGCATCAGATAGATTGTTTAGCAGGAGTTTCCAGTTAATTATATTGTATTGTATTGTATTATAATGACTTGACTATACATACAATATATATACATACACGTACTCTGGGCTGCAGGCCTTTGATACTGAATAAGGAATCTTGAAAAATCTTGAAAAAAATATGAAATTCTGGTTGTAACACGTCCTCCGCAAGTTGAGTGTTGGAGTCTTCAGATGGAGGCTAAGTTGGATGCAACGCTCGTTTGTGGTTTGTTTTTTCGTGATTGTTTACAGGTTGACTTGACTTGAAAGGTGTTAAGTGCGGCGTAAAACAATACGAAATTCAAAAGTGCAAAGAATTGTCATTATAGTTATTTGTATAAGTATAAGGGAATAAGCATGCGTAGATTGCCACCGATAGTCTAAGACACGTCTGTGCATGCAGATTTAGACTCCTGTGCAACAAACTCTGAAATATCCAACGCATAATAGTAAAGTGTACTAAAGTGCGACATATATCAGTGAACTAACTGCGACGCGTAATAGTAGAGCAAACTGAACGCAAGGCAGTAAAGTATAACAGTCGGTCCAACACATGAGAGTAATGTGCAGCAATTAGTTGAACACATGACTCTAACAGTGAAGGAAACAGTAGACTCTAATAGTAAATGAAACACATAACTGTAGACTCTAATATTGACTGAAACAGTGAATCAGGAGATTGTTTGCGTGTCTGGGGATTTAAGTCGACCATTTCAGATTAATGTCTATTAACATATATCGATCATCTCCTACAGGAGGTATTAAGTACTACGTAGGAGATAGTATGTCCTACGTAGGACTTAATAACTCCTACGTAGGAGATACTAAGTACTACGAAGGAGATGTTAAGTACTAAGTCCTTCGTAGGAAATACTATGACCTACGTAGTAGATACGACCTACGTAGAAGATATTATGTCCTACGAAGGACATAGTATCTCGTACTTTGGAGATAATGAAACTAAAACAAAATTCACCGTGGCCCTACTACGCTTTCGTCGTTACTTCCAAAGCCGACTGTGGCGGCAACATAACAACTCCTCGTCGACAGGAGAACCTGTTGAAACGCTCTTACCGGAAGTAGTAGGATCGGCCATTGGCCAACGAGTGCTTGACGAGGTTTTGTAAGTTCTGGCTGTTGCACTCGTTTTCCCCTTAGGTGCCCAACCTCTATAACTACAGTGTGGGTGTTGCATTGTTATGTTTAAATATCAACCAATGACCATGTAGTTGCATGAATGGCACATGAAATCTTGGACCCGATACTGTATGGTAGCCCCCCTGGACAATAGTCAGTTAAGATCGACAGAAAATGGTCCCCAAACCATAACTCTGTACCCTTCAAATTGATCATCTTCACGAACACAACAATGTGAGCAAAGGGCAGTGTGAAGCGTGACTCGTCAGTGGCCAGTTTCTGAGTTCTATGTATGTACCAAATATTCCCGTGATGTCTGTAGATGAGACAAGATATTGAACCTCCTAGCAACACCCAACAGTCTAAAACATCACATTGAGCAAGTAAACTATCAAGTGCATGTTTGAAAACAGTCTCTGTAACCAATCAAGAATATTACTTCACCAGTTGACCATGGTCGGAGCATTTGTGATGGTCAGCTTATCCCTATTCTGATGTTGAGAGATCCTGCTCCCCGTGGATTGGTTGAACTGACATCGTGTAAATGTGAAAAGTCAGCATGCCAGCAGAGAGATCGATGTCAATGCAGATAGAATGATCTAGTGTGAACAGAGGCCTGCATGTCTTTGTATGGCAGGTGATTGTTGCCCGAACAACTTTGACTTGTTGCCAGTAGATGACTCCGATTCCGACATGGAGTCACTACTCAGACTTTGATAAGGATCACAAAAATTCGCAACTTTACTTAAACGTAGATTTATAATTTGAAATTGTATCCATTTAAAACTGGATAAATATTTACATGGTAACACATCTTTAAGAAAACAGCCACTTTAAGCTAACCGTATGCACTTGATACATGAGTAACCATAAAATTGGGTTTCATGGCCCCAACCAACCATTTTGCAAATCATGGCACGGGTCATTGACAAGTACACAACACCCGTCAATAGCAGGTAGGGGATCCACAAGAAGCAATGACATACTGAAAACGTGGATCCATGCTTACAATAGGCATAGATATTTAAAACAAATGACCCCACATCATAGTTTTCTGTTGAATCAATGATTTGATCCTTAGCAAAGCTTTCATTGACCATATAATTGAAATTTATCTATTCCAATACTGTTTTGAAAATTTGACACCAAATAAATTGTTTGGTTTTATATCAGTAGAAATTTAGTCATCCACTATAAATATGCAGTAAAACTACAATGGCGGCCATTTTGAATTTTTGGTAACATATACAAATTCCTAATAACATGCTGTCACTCTAGAAATAAAGAGGAACTAGAAACGAATTACAAAAATAATGTTAACTTTCAATGAATAAATCACCACCACACATTTTCATGAAAAGTCGGAAAAACGCTAAAATACCCCTGTCTCGAAGAATAAGCTGTAAGACATTACATTACCACGATATGACAATACAAAACCACTTGTTTTATGCCCAGGCCATCACTCTACGAGAGACAAGTGTAAAAAGACATCAAAAGTATCAACTTTGGATGTAAATGGAAACATTTAGTGTTCATTTTTCTGTACATTTAAGCACCGAGAAGGCAAAACACGACAAAACAAAATGGCGGCCATTTTGATTTTTTTTCAAAACAAAAATATGTCAAATAATTTCTACATCCTTTAGCAATACACAGCAGTCAAAATAAAGGTGATCAGATTGATAGTAGTAAAACTATGCATGATTAACTTTGAGGTGTTATTCGGCAGCAAATCAAATGTGACGAAAATGCTCAGAGACCCCCACCACATATAGTGGCCTGTAAAAAACCCCCGATACCACAATCTGAGAGTATTACAGGCCATTTCATGTGCCCAAGACTTCATACTAACTGAAAATAGAGTCAAACAAAATCAGTACTGGGAAGGCTACGAATCCTATTTCTAGGCCCCTTTTGAGATTCTCCTCCTGGACTATGTACAGACAGTGATAGACTTGTACATATCAATAACATTTGTGAAAATACTGAAAGCAAACATGATGTATTCCTAATTACATTTAATGGATTTAGAAAGCAGCTCACTAACATCTGGGTAAGAACGTATTCTACTAGTCAAAAGAGGGTATTGTTGCGTCCAGAATGGAGCCTGTAATGTCGCAGGGTGTTGGCGTCAAGAAACGGCTTCTTAAGAACACAGTCAAACACAAGTTTGAGAATCTCTTGCTCAGAGAAAGGTTTGAATGTTTGTAGCACAGTTCCACCATACTCTGGAAACACATTCAGAGATGGAGCAGTAGCAGTTTTGCCCAAAAGGTTGCTGCGAATGTTATCTATCTTCGCAGTGAAATAAGAGCAAAATTCCTCTGCCAACTCCTTGTGATCCTGTGTATCTGGCAACACAACTTCTTTTGACTTGCCCATCAAGGAGTTCATGAAATTAAAAAGAGCTTGAGGTTTCCTTGTTAAATTCATTGACTTTGTTGTTACAAAACTCAATCTTCGCTTCTTTAATGAGTAAGTTTGTTTTACGTCTTTCAGTAACATAAATCTGTCGATAAACTTCCAATCTAGATTTACGCCACTTTCTCTCGGCTTTCCGCCTACTTGCCTTTTCTTCAGAAATTGCTTCTGAAAACCATGGTGAAGGTTGTTTAACCCTGACACGCTTAGTAGACTGCGGTGCATGTTTATCAAGTAACTCCTCCAGTGTTGTGCTCAGAATCTCTGTTAATGCATCAGTATCATCTGACTGATGAGAAACAATATCAGAGTTCAACAAATCGTTACGAAAAGCTTCTCTTGGGATGGCTGCAAAGTTTAAGGTTTTCGTTGAGATGTAGTTTGGCAGATATAGAATCACTCAACCTGTACTATGGCGTCAAATGGAGTATTTCACATTTAAACCCGCAACCTTTTCAAATGAAACTATAGTGAAATCTTCATCTTCAATGTCATGTTAATCCTTTACGTCCATATTGATACTTGTGTACAACAATGTAAATAATTGCTTTCACGTCATTGTGAAAGTCACACAGACACGAGGCAAAGACGTCATTACATAATTGCTATGTATACTCTTTGGAACAGATCACCCACGGGGAAGAAGGGGCATAATTGAATGGACATGCAGCTTGTTAATGCTATTAGTATCTACACCGCAAAGTCGCACTCAGTCTAATATCAAAGTTGTATATCCATAGGATTGTCATTGTTATTGACATTTAAGTGTCATTTAGAAACGTTACTTGAGTAAATCTTGAAAGCGTAACAATTAAGTGTAACACTGTCATGTGTTTTTATATTATGTGTTTTCATAAATGAAACCTTTTTTGTTTCGGGTAACTTTACAACCATTGCGTTTAATAGTATGGGAACCACGCGTAAAGATCCGGGTTAGAATTGATCTTTAGTAACCCATGCTTTGGGATCGGGTGGTCAGGCTCGCTTGTCATCATATCCCAGTTGCGTAGGTCGATGCTCATGCTGTTGATCACTGGATTGTCTAGTCCAGACTCGATTATTTACAGACCGCCACCATATAGGGAGTAAAACTAAATTCACTCACTCACTTATCCGGACACATGCATTTTCTGAAATATTGTCCGGATAACAGAGTTTCTGGACATCTAAACCCCCTATCCACTGACCAGGATTACCTATCTATCAAAAATCTACCGACGCAATATGAGAAATAAGGGTTCATGTCTGTGAAACACCGGCGTTATGAAAGAGGTTGCGTGTCAGAACAGGACTGTGGGGTGTAGCGTGTTTGTGTTAAAATTCCAGTACGTGACCATGCACAATTCACAAAGAACTAGTGAAGTATACTGTACTTGTATTGGAGATGATCTCCTCATGTCCATTTTACAGCTTCTAAGGCAAAAATATCTTCGTAACTATTATTGTAAACATCAATCTGTAGAACAGTTTAATCTCCTAATTAATTGTCCCAGTGTGCTCTCAACCCGTAAAGATCCGGGTTAGAATTAACCTTCAGTAACCCATGCTTGTCGCTTTAGCCGAGTAATGGGATCTGTCGGTAAGGCTCGCTGACTCGGTTGACACATGTCATCGTATCTCAGTTGCATAGATCGATGCTCATGCTACTGGATTGTCTGATCAAGACTCGATTATTTACAGCCATTTACAACCAACCAACCCAACCTTATGTGCCCTAACTGACTAGAATTGCTAGAGCTACCTGTTACTGTTTCACTAAAAACATTACGATTCATCTTCGCTAATGTGTATATGCTTGCTCTATGTCATTGTTAAACTAACATCTAGTCTCTGAAATGAACAAATTTTTCAGAAAAAAACGGTTCATAAATAATAATTATAAAATATAATGAAATGGAACCCTGAGACTTTTTTCAGTTTCTGAAACTGTTGAAATCTAGACTTGCCACATATTCTAGGCTTGCATGGACTTTCTTGGATAGATTTTTTCAGGGTCTGTATGACAGACTATGTCACTGTCAGTTATTAGCGAGAATAATACACTCTTCGAAACAAGAAACGCATAGGTGATTTTGAGAGTATTGGACTCATGTAGCTGCGGCAAATAAAAGCCATACGAGAGTTACCAGCCAAGCCCAGGACATCTACGTCCGGGTTGACCACTTGCGTCATCCTCTTGCCAAGTCACGTCAAGTCAAAGACATATACATGACATAGAGTAAACAAATATACATAAAAACAATGAAACTATATATATTATATAGCCTTGGAGACTGCACAACGCATCCCCAGTTTGAGAAAAATTTCCTACCAAACTGTCAGCGTGTTTACCGTGGAGGAAATGAGACAGATCGACAGATTATTGGAGACAGTGTCATGGTGTGGGGTGCGATATCCGGCACACAAAGATCTGATTTAGTGGTGGTTCAAGGGAGTTTGACAGCAAATCGGTACATCAACGATGTATTTGCACCTCACATGCTTCCGATTATGGACCGACAGAAGGAGTTGTTCGAGAATGACAACGCTACTTCACATACAGGACGCGTCACGGTCCGCTACGTTGGCAATTCTAACGTCAATGTTTTGCCATGGCCTTCTCGACCACCAGATCTAGAAACCCGATAGAACACCTATGTGATGAATTCGATCGACGTGTACGTCAACGTCAAACCACGCCTCAGACACTTCCACAACTGGCCATCGCATTGCAGGAAGAGTGGGGAAGAATTCCGCAAGAGCGACTTCGTCGACTTATCCAGTCTGTGCCGACACGGTTCCAAGCAGTAATTGTTGTCAATGGTGGCCATAAAAAGTATGCTGTTGTACGTGTTGGCCATCTCTTTGTCTATAGACGTTTGAATTTTCACCTTTGTACCATTACAATTACATGAAATAATTCTAAATGGATTATGTGTTTCTTTTTTTGAGGAGTGTATTTTGTTCTGTTCTGCAATCTTGATGCGTTCCACTTTTTCTGTGTGCCTGCGTTCAAAGCGCTAAGGTGACCACGTAACAGTTTCACGTTTATTTTATGCTTTATGACCTGCCTTTCCACGTCAGCAGCCAGGAATGTGTTCCAACAGCAATTTGGTCATTGCCGTGTGTATGGCACAACGAGAAACTATAAAGAATCACCACCTCACAAGTATTATTAATAACGTGTGTGGATAGTTTCTATTTTGTTGAGTATATCCCGGCGTGTTTGAGGAATGTCAGAAGTGACGATGCCTACTTTGGCGACACCAACGGGATTACCGTGCTGACAAATAATGAAATACAACCAGGCGATTCTGAGATTCAAACCCATAATACATTAATATTGTATCTGGCATAGCAAATCAGATAATTAGGCCCACATGCTCCCATAAATGTCTTTGGTTTCTCTTAGTAATGAAAATATTAATTCTAATAGGTGTTCGTTTCCCATATAGCAAGGCATACGCGCATTCATTTTGCTATGATGAAACCACGAATGTAACGAATGCAACACAAATGTATAACCATGTAGTTCAGTCAATGTATTTTATTGATTTTATGTAATTCACCAAGAAGAGGATCTGAAAAGGAAAGAACACCTTCGTTAAACAGACTGTCTTTCGCGTAACGTGTGTTTGAATAACTGTGTTTAGGTAACTTCAAAGTGAGATATAAATTAGTTTAGTTTAGTTTGCTGTATATTGTTTCAGAGTTTTAAACTTTTCATCAATATAATATATAATTTTGTTCAGTTGTTCAGTTCAGGCTGTTTTCAGTTATGGTCTAGAAACGAAGATTAGAAATTGAGGCAGCTAGAAACAAGCTCACCTTGCGTGAAAGTTAGTTCCTTTGTGGAGATTGCCTTTTTCCGCCAGATCCTTCACCTCCTTGACCTCCGGGTCCTTGTCTTTCCTGACCTCCTTGACCTCCGGGGCCTTCATTTCCCTCTCCACCTGGACCGCCGGGGCCCTCTCCTCCTGGACCACCTGGACCGCCAGGACCTTCATTTCCCTCTCCTCCTGGTCCACCGGGGCCGTCTCTTTGTTGACCTCCTTGACCTCCGGGGCCTTCATTTCCCTCTCCACCTGGACCGCCGGGGCCCTCTCCTCCTGGACCACCTGGACCGCCAGGACCTTCATTTCCCTCTCCTCCTGGTCCACCGGGGCCGTCTCTTTGTTGACCTCCTTGACCTCCGGGGCCTTCATTTCCCTCTCCACCTGGACCGCCGGGGCCCTCTCCTCCTGGACCACCTGGACCTCCAGGACCTTCATTTCCCTCTCCTCCTGGTCCACCGGGGCCGTCTCTTTGTTGACCTCCTTGACCTCCGGGGCCTTCATTTCCCTCTCCACCTGGACCGCCGGGGCCCTCTCCTCCTGGACCACCTGGACCGCCAGGACCTTCATTTCCCTCTCCTCCTGGTCCACCGGGGCCGTCTCTTTGTTGACCTCCTTGACCTCCGGGGCCTTCATTTCCCTCTCCACCTGGACCGCCGGGGCCCTCTCCTCCTGGACCACCTGGACCGCCAGGACCTTCATTTCCCTCTCCTCCTGGTCCACCGGGGCCGTCTCTTTGTTGACCTCCTTGACCTCCGGGGCCTTCATTTCCCTCTCCACCTGGACCGCCGGGGCCCTCTCCTCCTGGACCACCTGGACCGCCAGGACCTTCATTTCCCTCTCCTCTTTGTCCACCGGGGCCGTCTCTTTGTTGACCTCCTTGACCTCCGGGGCCTTCATTTCCCTCTCCCCCTGGACCGCCTGGACCGCCAGGACCTTCATTTCCCTTTCCTCCTGGACCTCCGGGGCCTTCGTTTTCTTGACCTCCCGGCCCCCCCTTTTGCGGAGGTGGGCGGTCAACTTTTTCTGAATCTGTGGATGGAGGGCCACCTGCTTGAGGATAGGACCAACATACTGCAAGACAAGAGAGCGCCAGTAGTACCAAGAAAGTCTTCATGGTGAGAGTGATGCTCATGTCTTGAAACAGCACAGCTTTTATACACATCCAGTCCCAAACCAGATGGCTCCTCATTACATCGCAGTAATTACCACTGCTGACTGTGTTATTGTTTGTATTGTCATCGAGATAGTTCTGCAAGTTAAAACGTGACTCTTCTGATTCAGTCATTTAGTTTTCATTATATGTAATTCCTAACTGGACAAAGACTGAATTTTACATATGCTATGATTTACACGTTTTGTTAAAGTAAGGCTGCAAACAGCAATTGAAGCCTCACGTTGCAATTACATTTCATTACATATCATATTACATATCATTACCTGCATCTGTGGCTTGAGATATTATCTTGAAGACGTTGAATGCAAGCATGACATATTATAAACTAAATGATATGGATTTAAACAGATGGTGTAATACAGTGTACGTGCATGTGGAGACAATGTAGACCATTTCATCGGCTTTTGTTTGTATAATACCGATTACATATTCATGGAGGCATGGTAAGCATATTTCATATTGTTTAAATGTAGCAATATTAATTTATAGATGTAAATATGAGATGGGTGAGGCTGTTATATTTCTGGTTCAGGTTCGTAGATCTGAGGAAGGAGACATGAGATCAAATACAAAACTGAAATGACCCTGTCTTCGGGTTTCAAAGTCATGTCAAATGTTGATAGTTCGTTTCTTTTGCAGATTTCTTCCATGTTTCTTGAACATTTGCAATACGTTTCTGACTGTACGAACATATTTTGCTTTAATGTTTTCTTCATGACTTGTCTAGACTAAAGATTTCTAAATGCTATCTACTCATGGAAGCACAAACATATTTCCCAGTGTTTAAATGCAACAATATTACCGAGAATCCTTTATTCATAGTATCTAAACGTGGGATAGAAGAGGCGTTTTCACGGGTATCTTCTATTTCTGGTTCAAGGTTGTTAAATCGGGAAGGTATTGGCTATTCGATGAATGTTTGTTCGGACCGTTAAGAAGAAATAAAAACCAGTACAAAATAGGAATTACCATGTCTTCAGGTTTCAGAGTCATATTAAGTTTTAGTACCGATGCAACGTGTGAAGGGTGTTGTTATTGTGTATTTATATATTTCTAAAAGGCAATTGACAGTGTTCAGCATCACTTGTTGAAATATGTATTATTGCAGAGAGGTGTGAAAGGTAAATTTTTCAGTGTTATTTCATCTCTGTACAGTCTTGTGTACTTGTAAATGGGTCTTCACTATCTGAGTACTTTGAGTGCAAAATTGGAACCAGGCAAGGGTGCATGATAAGTCCACTTTTGTTCACTTTGTTTTTGAATGAGTTGGTAGATAATCACAAGTCAAACAATTGCAAGGGTACTTTTGTGAATGAGTATGCTGAATATATTACCTTGTTAATGTTTGCAGATGATATTGCCAATGATGGTGATTCTGTGGAAAGATTACAGTATATTACAGCATACAGGAGATAGTATGTCCTACGTAGGACATAATAACTCCTACGTAGGAGATACTACGTACTACGTAGGAGATGTTAAGTACTAAGTCCTTCGTAGGAAATACTATGACCTACGTAGGAGATACGACATACGTAGAGGATATTATGTCCTACGTAGGACATAGTATCTCGTACTTTGGAGATAATGAAACTAAAACAAAATTCACCGTGGCCCTACTACGCTTTCGTCGTTACTTCCAAAGCCGACTGTGGCGGCAACATAACGACTCCTCGTCGACAGGAGAACCTGTTGAAACGCTCTTACCGGAAGTAGTAGGATCGGCCATTGGCCAACGAGTGCTTGACGAGGTTTTGTAAGTTTCTGGCTGTTGCACTCGTTTTCCCTTAGGTTCCCAACCTCTATAACTACAGTGTAGGTGTTGCATTGTTATGTTTAAATATCAATCAATGACCATGTAGTTGCATGAATGGCACATGGAATCTTGGACCCGATACTGTATGGTAGCCCCCTGGACAATAATCCGTTAAGATTGACAGAAAATGGTCCCCAAACCATAACTCTGTACCCTTCAAACTGATCATCTTCACGAACACAACAATGTGAGCATAGGGCAGTGTGAAGCGTGACTCGTCAGTGGCCAGTTTCTGAGTTCTATCGTATGTACCCAATAATCCAGTGATGTCTGTAGATGAGACAAGATATTGAACCTCCTAGCAACACCCAACAGTCTAAAACATCACATTGAGCAAGTAAACTATCAAGTGCATGTTTGAAAACAGTCTCTGTAACCAATCAAGAATATTACTTCACCAGTTGACCATGGTCGGAGCATTTGTAATGGTCAGCTTATCCCTATTCTGATGTTGAGAGATCCTGCTCCCCGTGGATTGGTTGAACTGACATCGTGTAAATGCGAAAAGTCAGCATGCCAGCAGAGAGATCGATGTCAATGCAGATAGAATGATCTAGTGTGAACAGAGGCCTGCATGTCTTTGTATGGCAGGTGATTGTTGCCCGAACAACTTGTTGCCAGTAGATGACTCCGATTCTGACATGGAGAAACACACACTACTCAGACTTTGATAAGGATCACAAAAATTCGCAACTTTACTTAAACGTAGATTTATAATTTGAAATTGTATCCATTTAAAACTGGATAAATATTTATATGGTAACACATCTTTAAGAAAACAGCCACTTTAAGCTAACCGTATGCACTTGATACATGAGTAACCATAAAATTGGTTTTGATGGCCCCAACCAACCATTCTGCAAATCATGGCACGGGTCATTGACAAGTACACAACACCTGTCAATAGCAGGTAGGGGATCCACAAGATGCAATGACAAACTGAAAACGTGGATCCATGCTTACAATAGGCTTAGATATTTATAACAATTTGACCCCACATCATAGTTTTCTGTTGAATCAATGATTTGATCCTTGGCAAAGTGTGAATAGCATATGATATTAAGAAAGTTAAAAGGAGGGTTAATTGTAAGCTTCTGAATGCATCAAAAGTGACTTAAGAGTTATCTGATAGAATAATATGAATAGCTACAACCAGAGCTCAGACGCAGTTATCGGTCATGAAGCATATTTTTCAAACACTTTTGGATAATGTTATTTCATCAAATATGTTAGGAGTGTGAAGCTTACATTGATCATATAATTGAAATTTATCTATTCCAAAACTGTTTTGAAAATTTGACACCAAATAAATTGTTTGGTTTTATATCAGTAGAAATTTAGTCATCCACTATGTATGTGTAGTAAAACTACAATGGCGACCATTTTGAATTTATGGTAACATATAAAAATTCCTAATAACATGCTGTCACTCTAGAAGTAAAGAGGAATTAGAAACGAATTACAAAAATAATGTTAACTTTCAATGAATAAATCACCACCACACATTTCTATGAAATGTCGGAAAAACGCTAAAATACCCCTGTCTCGAAGAATAAGCTGTAAGACATTACATTACCACGATATGACCATACAAAACCACTTGTTTTGTGCCCAGGCCATCACTCTAGGAGAGACAAGTGTAAAAAGACATCAAAAGTATCAACTTTGGATGTAAATGGAAACATTTAGTGTTAATTTTTATGTAAATTTAAGCGCCGAGAAGGCAAAACACGACAAAACAAAATGGCGGCCATTATAATGGCCCACCACATATAATGGCCTGTAAAAAGAACCTGATACCACAATCTGAGAGTATTACAGGCCATTTCATGAGCCTATGACAACATACTAACTGAAAATAGAGTCAAACAAAATCAGTACTGGGGAGGCTACGAAATCCTATTTCTAGGCCCCTTTTGAGATTCTCCTCCTGGACTATGTACAGACAGTGATAGACTTGTACATATCAATAACATTTGTGAAAATACTGAATGCAGACATGATGTATTCCTAATTACATTTAATGGATTTAGAAAGCAGCTCACTAACATTTGAAACACATTCAGAGATGGAGCAGTAGCAGTTTTGCCCAAGAGGTTGCTGCGAATGTTATCTATCTTCGCAGTGAAATAAGTGCAAAATTCCTCTGCCAACTCCTTGTGATCCTGTGTATCTGGCAACACAACTTCTTTTGACTTGCCCATCAAGGAGTTCATGAAATTAAAAAGAGCTTGAGGTTTCCTTGATAAATTCATTGACTTTATTGTTACAAAACTCAATCTTCGCTTCTTTAATGAGTAAGTTTGTTTTACGTCTTTCAGTAACATAAATCTGTCGATAAACTTCCAATCTAGATTTACGCCGCTTTCTCTCGGCTTTCCGCCTACTTGCCTTTGCTTCAGAAATTGCTTCTGAAAACCATGGTGAAGGTTGTTTAACCCTGACACGCTTAGTAGACTGCGGTGCATGTTTATCAAGTAGCTCCTCCAGTGTTGTGCTCAGATTCTCTGTTAATGCATCAGTATCATCTGACTGATGTGAAACAATATCAGAGTTCAACAAATCGTTACGAAATGTTCTCTTGGGATAGCTTTTATGTTCCGACATTTGACCTCAACCACAGACTCAACCGTTTTGTCAAAGGTTAAGGTCCGATCTATCCATGAATGGTCTGGCATCTGGCGATCAACAATGTCCGGGGCGGTGGGGTAGCCTAGTGGTTAAAGCTTTGGCTCGTCACGCCGAAGACCCGGGTTCGAATCCCCACATGGGTACAATGTGTGAAGCCCATTTCTGGTGTTCCCCGCCGTGTTGTTGCTGTCATATTGCTAAAAGCGGCGTAAAACCAAACTCAGTCAGTCAGTCAACAATGTCCAGTAACTGAATGAGGTTGTCGGTGTGTCTAGTGAGAACACACTAAAGAATATGTCCTTTGACATGTGTAGATACACAGACAAGTTGGGTCATACCTTACACTTCAAGTACTTTGCACATTTTCTTCACTTCTGGTTTATCCAGACAATCAAAGTGAATGTTGATGTCCCCGAAGACCAGTAATTTACCTCTTTTGACATTTAAATGCTCTATAAATCCTGAAAACTCTTCAAGAAAGAGTTTATTCGTCAAATCGTTAGATTTAGAAGGTGGGGGTCGATAAATACAAACTGTTCGTAGAGTCTGTGTTCAACACCTCCATATATTCAAATACTTTCAAAGTACAGTCCAAGGGTATCAGTTTAATCTTAAAACTCGTTTGTAGATCATAGCAATACCTCCGACCAATATATTTAGACGTGGAATATACTTGAAGATGTATCCATCAGATGTGACGTTAGCAATTGTGACGTCATCACCTACCTCTTTCAAACTTGTTTCAGTCACAAACATTACATCCACCTTTAGGTCCAAGATTTCTGTTGCCAATTCGATACATTGTATACATTGACGAATATTATATAAGACGTTGGATTGAAGTCTGATGTTAGAGTCACAGGTTGATTGAATATGTACAAGCTGCTCCCTTGTGAAGGTCAGCTTCTTTTGTTTGTCCAGCATGGTAATCAACACCGGTCTGATTGGAAACACAATAGTCCCATCTTGTAGCTTACTTGCTACAAGTCCTTGTAGAATATAGCAAAATAACATAGAAAATTGCTAATGTCAAAATGTCAGAATTTGATTGAGGTTCATTTTTTTAAAATTAAATATGCAAACTGTTGCATGGATGTCCGGAAAGATCATAGTCACATCTTCATTAACTATACTTGAGTATAAACTAGAGAAAATGTGGGATTTGTAGAGAGCTCAGGCCCCGATTTCTCGAAACAAACTTAAGTCAGAGTTTTTACTCAAATTTGAGAAAACGCAGGAAATGCATTTTCCAGAATAAACTGAAATCAATATTAAACTCAAACTTAGTAGACAATTTGAGTTTGGTGGATAGATTACTTAAGTTGTTTGTGCTTTTTTATTAAAAAAATGCAGTTGAGTTAGAAATTCAGCTGTTTCAAATTGTCAAACTCAGTTTGAAATTTGAGAAAAACTTAAGTTTGTTTCGAGAAATCGGGGCCAGATGTGTGCTGCCTGTCAGGCGCTACAGCTCAGTCGTAATCAGTATTTCAGTTATATACTCAACCAAATTAAAAAACCTAACAGTTGTTTAATCGCATCCTACAGAGGAAATAATGTGTGTAATATTATGAAAATATGTATGATATTGCTGTCATCCAGATAACAATACAAAGGATGAAAAGTTGGGTGCGGCATGATTTTATTAGACAAAATGATGAATGGCGTTCCATGACCCAAGTCAATAACGAGTGTGACTTCTTATGGCGGCCGTGACGGCAAGACAATCTATTCTCGTGGACAGGAGAACCTGTTGGGCTAGTCTAACACTCATATGTAAATGAGTGCTTGCCCAAGTTCTTCTTTATCTGCTCTTGCAGTCGTCTTCCCAGCTCCTCCAAATGCCTTCGAATGGTTTCAGGTCTGCAGAACGGGAAGGCCAGCCCATGACATCAAAGGAAGTTGTGCTTCAGAACTGCTGTAAGAGGTTTATTGGTATCGTGTTGAAATATCAGTACAAAGCCAAGTAGCTGCATGAATGGCAGAATGACTGGGGTGACAACTTGGTCCGGATACTGTGGTAATCCCCAGCAGGACAATCAATTAGGATTGACCGTTGGCAGACTGCTACCCAAACAATAACGCAACTCCAAGTTGCCCAACCTCACGAACACAATACTGTTAGTGCAATAAACACCGTTAGTGTGCAAACAAATCAAGAAACAAAATCTGTGTGACTTTGAGATTCGAACCCATGATACCTTGTTTTAATGACACGAGAAAGCCTTTTCGATAATGAAAAGGACTAATTCCAACTGGTGTTCGTTTCTCGGATACCGGGTTATGCATACATTCCTTATAAAAATACCTCCTTTAAAACATACTTTATTTATCATAACTAATGTTTCGTTCAGTTATCTTATGACTGCATCAATGGTCACACACATGGCAGTGGTGGGTCTGTTCTTGTGTGGGGTGGTATATACTACAATGGTAAACCTGAACCTTTGGTTCTGTAAGAAAACGTCGATCGGCGAACATATCGACGTGTTCTTGAGCAGACATGCCGTCGATCTTTGGTAACTAATGCTCACCTTGCCTGTACAGTGGGTGATGTGTCAGCCAGGGAATATCTTCCCTGAGATCTTTTATGTTGTAGCCCGTTAAGATGTGGACCGTCTCATTGACAGCATGCCGAGACGAATTGTCGCCCTTACACAAGCACGTCGGGCGCAGATCAGCGAATTGACTATATACCATCCCTGTCGTCACGCCAGCAGAAACACTCAACTTTTGCAACTTGATTGTATTGAAAATCACATTATTCCTGTCTCAGGCATGTGGTTGCCCTCAGTTCTGCATGTGTATCCATATTATGATTTTGGAGACGTTTTTCTGATGTATTTGTGTTAGCCATGATTTAAAAATGATGAGTGAGTGACATCAATTTAAGGATTGACAGTATTTTGTCGTTTCAAACATACGATGTGCGAACTGTATGATATAAGTTCGTGTTTATACAAATATGAAGATCCACACATAAATAGACAACCACATACACAGCCACATATATCATATTCACAGACACACACACGCAACCCCCCCCCCCCCCTACCCCTACCCCAACTCTAGCACACATGTATAACATATCCATTATATCCATATAAAGTGAAACTCGGATAAGTTAAACGCCACGGGACCATGGCCAAAGTTGCTATTTGTCCGTATTGCCACTTATCCATCCAAGCAATCCCGACACAATCTTCTCCAACACCTAATCCTGACACTATCCCCACCCAACATCTCCACCAAACACTATCTTCCCAAACATCTCCACCTGACACTATCCTCCCCAATAATTTCACCTGACACTATCCTCCACAACATATTCACCTGGCACTATCTTCCCCAACATCTCCACCCGACACTATCCTCCCCAATAACTTCACCTGACACTATCCTCCACAGCATTTTCACCTGGCACTATCCTCCCCAACATCTCCACCTGACACTATCCTGCCCCATATCTACAAAATCTAAAACAGAAATTTCTTCATATCTATGATTGTAAATCTTAACAAATGCGTGCTCGATGCTAAATATCACTGATTGTACTGATTATCGAGAATCAAGCGCTTCCCCTTTTAGCCTACCAATGCACATGCGACCGCCAGACTGACCACGTGATGGTCACGTTATTATATATGTATATGGCACAAGGAGAAACTCAAAAGAGTTACGCCCTCACAATTATTTTCAATGATGTGTGTGGCAAGTTTCCTATTTTGTGGAATATATCATGGCCTGTCTGCTTGATGCAGCGAAACCAAAAAACGGGGTTACAGTGCGATTGAGATTTGAACCCATGATACATTGTTTGTGGCACAGCAAATTGGAGTAGTAGGCCACACATGATCCCCAAAATGACACAAATGTACAACCATGGAGTTCAGTCAATGTTTTTATTGATTTAATATAATTCACCAAGAGAGTTATCTGAAAAGGAAAGAAAACCTTCGTTAAAACAGACTGTATTGCTGTGTAGAGAGTGTTCAATGTTCAACTTCAAAGAGGGATTTGCTCTTAATGGTTTAATGTTCTCTACCTTTTCATTAATACTGTTTCCATTAACTATGTTTGCGGCAACTCAAGGTGAGATACATCTAGTTTACTTTGCTGTTTATGGTTTCGTGTTCTTTAACTGTTCATTAAAACACGTTTTGGTTAGGTTGTGTTAAGTTATGTTCAAGAAACTAATACTGGAAATTAAAGCAGCGAGAAACAAGCTCGCTGCGTGTGAAAGTAAGTTCCTTGGTGGCCTTTCTCCGCGACCTTTGGATCCTTCATCCCCTTGACCTCTTGGACCTCGTGGGCCTTCATTTCCCTCTCCTCCTGGACCACCTGGACCGCCAGGACCTTCATTTCCCTCTCCTCCTTGACCTCCGGGGCCTTCTCTTTGTTGACCTCCTGGACCGCCGGGGCCTTCATTTCCCTCTCCTCCTGGACCACATGGACCGCCAGGACCTTCATTTCCCTCTCCTCCTGGTCCTCCGGGTCCTTCATTTTGCTCCTCTCCTGGACCTCCGGGGCCTTGTTTTTCTTGACCTCCTGGACCTCTGGATTCTCCACCCTTTTGTGGAGATGGGCGGTCACCTCTTTTTTCTGAATCTGTGGATGGAGGACCACCTGCTTGAGGATAGGACCAACATACTGCAAGACAAGAGAGCGCCAGTAGTACCAAGAAAGTCTTCATGGTGAGAATGATGCTCATGCACAGCTTTTATACACTTTGAGTGCCAAACCAGATGGCTCCTCATTACATCGCAGTAATTACCACTTGGGACAGTGTTATTGTTTGTTTAGTCATTGAGACAGGTTTGCTAGTTAAAATGAGACTCTCCGGTTTCAGACATGCATTGTTCCTTGTATGAAGTTCTTAAATGGACAAAGCCCAAAGTGGACATATGTTATGATTACGTTAATATTAGGCTGCAAATTGCAATTGAAGCATCACGTTGCATTCGACGTTTACATATATTATCATGCAACACTAAAGAAAACAGAGAACGTTAAATGCAAGCACAGCATATTTCGAAATTAAATCATATTGATTTCACCCAGGTGGTGTAATACATGGTGTAACTGCCAATTCCGGTAGATGTCATATTTGTATAACAATGCATGCAAATATAGCAGGTTAAGAAATTAGAAACTAGTGTTTTGTAAAAACTAGACAAGAAACAGTTTGTCATGCAGTTGGCAGAGACAATGTACACCATTTCAGCTGCCTTTGTTTGTGTGAACACCGATCAGATGAACTTTGTTTTACCATGAACACAGTCAATCAAGTGTCCTTTATGATTTCTTTAATAACGCACCAAAATTCATTCTAATACCATGAGCATTCTTATAAAGAGAGTTCAGTTCAGCATTTTAAAATAAATGTTAGAATGAGGACTGCACTGCTGGAATATTGTTGAAAGAAGGTGATACTTGACTTAAATACCTTGGTTTTATGTTTTACTCAAGACATTGATCTGAATATGTGACAGAGGAGGCAGACTCACTGGCGTGTTTCATTTCTTGTTAAGGTTGGTAAATTAGGAATAATTTCTTCAGGGTTTAGAGTCATGTCAAATGTTTACAGTGCTGGTTCTAGCATTTCTCAGATTTCTTACAGAGTTAAAATGCTAGGATGTTAAGTGTCTTTGTTATTTAAGGCCTATTGAGTTGAAATTTTTTGAAATACAAAGTAGCGGATTGATAAACGTTTGCAGGTAAAATGCATCATGCCTAGAACATATTGGTTTAATGCTTTCTTCAAGACTGGTCTTAACTAGGGCTTTCTTTTTCTGTTTGTTCCTGAAGGCATGGAAAACATCTTTCACAGTGTTAAAATTTAACAAAGTTACTCTCTCCCAAGTTTTATTGCTGCTAAAATTTGATTTAATGTTTGCTCATATTATTTGATATGTCCATGGAAAATATTAAAATGATTCACAGCAATGTCTATAAAAGGTATATTTCGTTTGGGAAAATAGCCTTCAGAACTTCCCAAATAGAAAACTGTAAATGAGTCGTTGCATGAAATATTGGTGTAGATAAATACCGGTAGATTATGTGAAAAGAGATATCCCCGTGCTTGATATCAAATGATGAAAACCTTTCATGATAAAATAAACTGGGTGCATTACAACAGTATTTCAAACAGGTGGGTTTTAATATTATTTTTTATGGGTGTATTGTAATAGTATTTTTTTAACTATGTGTATAATTAAAGTATTTCCAAGTGGGATTTGTCCTAACTTTTTCGAAACGTCGTGCTTCCTGACTTTATTAAATCTACGATGCAAGGGAAGTGAATTTCTGAACTGACATTCTAATCTAACACATTCTTTTCCTTAAGTGTATATTTGTCTTATCAATCGGTACTAAGTGTACATACTGCAAGCAAATGAACGCTTAGCGAGATGGCCTATCTTCAGAAATAAACGTTTTCAGTTACCAAAAATATATTTGAAAGATTATTGCATGAGATGATACTGTCCTCTACTATCAAATGGGATCTGTGTACTTGGTCACCTTTGCCCACCTTGGTTTAATTGCAGAGCCTTTGCTTCAAAACTTAGATACAATACATTCTTTTGCTGTGTAATATCTATCTTTTACTCAGTGAACCACTGAGCAGCTTTGAACAGTAATTCAGTAATACAGTCAAGCACATTAAAAACTTAACAGTTGCTTAATGGAATCCTACGGAGGAAATAGTGTATGATATATTATGAAAATATGTATGATATTGCTGTCATCCAGGTAACAATACAAAGGATGAAAAGTGGGGTGCGGCATGATTTTATGGCGTTCCTTGACCCAAGTCAATAACGAGTGTGACTTCTTATGACGGCAAGACAATATATCCTCGTGGACAGGAGAACCTGTTGGGCTAGTCTAAGAGTTCTTAAAGGGTACGTGTTTTATCTGCTCTTGCACTCGTCTTCCCAGCTCCTCCAAATGCGTTCGATTGGTTTCAGGTCTGCAGAACGGGAAGGCCAGTCCATGACATCAAAAGTAGTTGTCCTTCAGAACTGCTGTATGAAGTTTATTGTCATCGTTTTGAAATATCAGTACAAAGCCAAGTAGCTGCATGAATGGCAGAACGACTGGGGTGACAACTCGGTCCGGATAATGTGGTAATCCCCAGCAGGACAATCAATTAGGATTGACCGTTGGCAGACTGCTACCCAAACAATAACGCAACTCCAAGTTGGCCAACCTCACGAACACAATACTGTTAGTGAAATAAACACCGTTAGTGTGCAAACAAATCGAGAAACAAAATCTGTGTGACTTTGAGATTCGAACCCATGATACCCTATTTTAATGACACGAGAAGGCCATTCGGTAATGAAAAGCAATAATTCCAATTGGTGTTCGATTCTCATATACCAGGTTGTACACACATCCCTTGTAAAAATACCTCATTTAAAACATACTCTATTTATCATAACTACTGTTTCGATCAGTTATCTTATGACAGCAACGATGGTCACACACATGGCAGTGGTGGGTCTGTTCTTGTGTGGGTGGCATATACTACAATGGTAAACCTGAACCTTTGGTTCTGTAAGAGAACGTCGATCGGCGAACATATCGACCTGCTCTTGAGCACACATGCGGTGATCTTTGGTAACTAATGCTCACCTTGTCTGTTCAGTGGGTGATATATCGGCCAAGGATGTTAAGAAGTTTTTAATTTAAATTACCCTGGTCAATAAACACGGAAACTGCAACCTCATCAGATGAATCTATACGATTTGGAGACATCTTCTGTGAGATCTTGTATGTTGTAGCCCGTTAAGATAAGGACCGTCTCATTGACAGTATGCCGAGACGGATTGTCGCCCTTACACAAGCACGTCTGGCGCAGATCAGCCAATTGACTATATACCATTCCTGTCGTCACGCCAGTAGAAACACTCAACTTGCAAATTGATTGTTTTCAAAATCACATTATTCCTGTCTCAGGCATGTGAATGCCATCAGTTCTGCATGTGTATCCATATTATGATTTTGGAGACGTCTTTTCTGATGTATTTGTTTTAGCCATGATTTAAAAATAATTATTGAGTGACATCAATTTATGGATTGACTGTATTTTCTCGTTTCAAACTGTATGATATAAGTGAGTGTGTATACAAATATGAAGATCCACACATAAATAGACAACCACATACACACATCGTTTCAAACTGTATGATATAAGTGCGTGTTTATACAAATATGAAGATCCACACATGAATAGACAACCACATACACACCCACATATATCATATCCACACACCCACACACACCCTCCACACACACACATGTATAATATATCCATTAAATTCATATACATATATTGACGCATGTTGGCGCATAACTACACAGAAAGTATATACGATTAATTTGCACATTTGGAGGAAAGTGGTCACAGGATCAAGTTACACTTGAAACTAGAAACTGGACCAAATATCGCTACTCTCTTTGTTATGTGCAGCACCAACATCCAACATTCAATACTACAAGCATATCTCTTAAAATCGTCCCTATGGAGAATGTAGTGAGAGTTTAAACATTTACGCAAACGATGCAGTATGATATGCGAAATTACCCAGGGCATTGATTAAACCGAATTGTGATTTAAACACAACATCATACATGATACAAATTACGTAAGTGACATACACAATACACGCATCTGTATTAAGGAGGTCGCTTGAGGCTTGAGGGTTGCTGTAAAAAATCGCACCTCAAAAATTTAGAGAACGAACTGGGACCCATCCAGTCTTATGAATATCAGTGTCTGGTATTGTATTTCCTCTTTCCGCAGCATACTGACTTGACAAAAGTTTGAATATCCACAATAAGGGCTGCTTGGGGCATCCGCTTAACCCTAATTGTGTACACTGAAAACATAAACTTGCAACTGGTTTAATTTAAGAGCTTTTGTGTATTCGGGTGATTCCAGCATGCGGTGCGATAACTTTCAAAATGTAGTTTCACAGGTAGTTACACATTTTAGGTTTTTAAACAATTGTTCCTGTTAGATCAAGATTCGGATGGATTCGACACATGAGTTCTGAAGACGAGGTATATTGTGGGAGAAGGTGCAAACCTTTCAGGTAAACAATGAGAGGCGTACTTCACATGCGATACTATCGTCCCACAAATCTTCACCGACCTTGACCTAAACGACCTGGTACTATCCTCCACACATCTTTATATAATATACTATCCTCTCCAACATGTTTGCATGGTATACTATCCTCCACACATCTTTATATGAGACACTATCCTCTCCAACATGTTTGCATAGTGTACTATCCTCCACACATCTTTATATGAGACACTATCCTCTCCAACATGTTTGAGACATATTGTACTATCCTCCACACATCTTTATATGAAATAATATCCTCTCCAACATGTTTGCATGGTATACTATCCCCCCACACATCTGTATATGAGACACTATCCTCTCCAACATGTTTGCATGGTGTACTATCCTCCACACATCTTTATATGAAATAATATCCTCTCCAACATGTTTGCATGGTATACTATCCCCCCACACATCTGTATATGAGACACTATCCTCCTCCAACATGTTTGCATATATGAGAGACACTGTACTATCCTCCACACATCTTTATATGAAATAATATCCTCTCCAACATGTTTGCATGGTATACTATCCCCCCACACATCTGTATATGAGACACTATCCTCTCCAACATGTTTGCATAGTGTACTATCCTCCACACATCTTTATATGAAATAATATCCTCTCCAACATGTTTGCATGGTGTACTATCCTCCACACATCTTTATATGAGATAATATCCTCTCCAACATGTTTGCATGGTATATTATCCTCCACACATCTTTATTTGTAATAATTTATCCTGTCCAACATGTTTGCATGGTGTACTATCCTCCACACATCTTTATATGAGATAATATCCTCTCCAACATGTTTGCATGGTGTACTATCTTCCACACATCTGTATATGAAATACTATCCTCTCCAACATGTTTGCATGGTATACTATCCCCCCACACATCTGTTTATGAGACACTATCCTCTCCAACATGTTTGCATGGTGGACTATCCTCCACACATATTTATATGAAATGATATCCTCTCCAACATGTTTGCATAGTTTACTATCCTCCACACATCTTTATATGAAATAATATCCTCTCCAACATGATTGCATTGTGTACTATCCTCCACACATCTTTATATGAAATAATATCCTCTCCAACATGTTTGCATCGTATACTATCCCCCCACACATCTGTATATGAGACACTATCCTCTCCAACATGTTTGCATGGTGTACTATCCTCCACACATCTTTATATGAAATAATATCCTCTCCAACATGTTTGCATCGTATACTATCCCCCCACACATCTGTATATGAGACACTATCCTCTCCAACATGTTTGCATGGTGTACTATCCTCCACACATCTTTATATGAAATAATATCCTCTCCAACACGTTTGCATGGTATACTATCCTCCACACATATTTATATGAAATAATATCCTCTCCAACATGTTTGCATGGTGTACTATCCTCCACACATCTTTATATGAAATAATATCCTCTCCAGCATGTTTACATGGTATACTATCCCCCCCACACATCTGTATATGAGACACTATCCTCTCCATCATGTTTGCATGGTATACTATCCTCAACGCATCTTTATATGAAATAATATCCTCTCCAACATGTTTGCATGGTGTACTATCCTCCACACATTTTTATATGAAATAATATCCTCTCCAACATGTTTGCATGGTGTACTATCCACCTCATATTTTTATTTGAAATAATATCCTCTCCAACATGTTTGCATGGTGTACTATCCTCCACACATATTTATATGAAATAATATCCTCTCCAACATGGTTGCATGGTATCGTATCCTCCCACACATATTTATATGAAATAATATCCTCCCCAACATGTTTGCATTGTGTACTATCCCCCCACACATCTTCACAAGCTACGTTTGTGACCTAACCTCACCCAAACAACACTCATCGTGTCAGGTAGATAAGTGGACATGCACACTTCTCTAAGGTAAGGTAATAATTTATAGTTTCAATGATAGTTTCTAAACAATATAAACATAAAAACGACATTTTCTCTCTAATAGATTGGCATCCTATACTTGTCTCTTTAAAGTATAAATTACTTTACATCCATGGGCTTAGCAGTCAGTATAGACTTGCACAAGTCTCTAAGGTAATTATTAATAGTGTAAATGATAATTTCTAAAAACTATAAATACAATTAACACATTGTCCCTTTGAGAGACTGGCGTCCTTGTACTTACTGCTTATCTAGGCTTGCCTCTTTAAAGGATACAATTACTATACATCCATAGCACTCAGTACAGCCTTGGAGCAAGGCTAGTAGATAAGATCTTTCCTTTGAACAAAGACTACAGCCAACGTTGACATCGCAGCGATACGCACACTCGTTAGGGGCAGTGGTGTTCGCCCTTCGAGGCCCTGCCATTGTTAACGCAATATGTGTTCTCCCGGCTGTGACAGGTAATCTACCCTCCAACAAGGAAGTTAAAAGGACTCCATATTTACAGCAAAGACAGTGTAACCGGGTGCAAAGTTTCGACTGTCATTTATTTTGGCTTTGGAAGCCTGATTAGTGCCTTTGTGTTAACAAACGTTCAGTAACGTGAACAAGGAAATGGTATTTGAAGAAGGAAAGGTGTGACGATGTCAACATTCGGTCCTGCGAACAAGTGTTTGTGTTTGTGTTTTGGTGTCATGCTCCTTGTTTATCAGTCAGGTAGGTTACATGTTGTCTATACAATCCAATCCGTGACATGTGTGTGTGTGTGTGTGTGTGTGTGTGTGTGTGTGTGTGTGTGTGTGTGTGTGTGTGTGTGTGTGTGTGTGTGTGTGTGAGAGAGAGAGAGAGAGGGTGTGTGTCAAGGGGAGTGGGGTGTGTCGACCAAAGCGTTGCTTTACGTCACACGTCGCCAGGTTAAATGTAGTCCGGAAGTGGATGGATAGTGTGGGTGTGGGTGTGGGTGTGGGTGTGGGTGTGGGTGTGAGTGGTGTTGGTGTTGGTGTTGGTGTTGGTGGTGTTGGTGGTGTTGGTGGTGGTGTTGGTGGTGTTTGTGGTGGTGGTGTTGGTGTTGGTGTTGTTGTTGGTGTTATTGGTGTTGGTGGCGTGGGCTTGGGCGTGGGCATAGGCGTGGGCGTGGGCGTGGGCGTGGGCGTGGGCGTGGGCGTGGGCGTGGGCGTGGGCGTGGGTGGAGTTATCTGGTGTTTGGGATGAGTCTTGGAGTGTCAGATATATGTGTTCATGGGACCCACATCTTCCCAGCAACAACAGCTTATCCAACCCAAATACACCATTAAATTACTCCCAGGCAAATAATAACTTTTTGTTCAAATTCGTTAACCGTCACAAATAACTGTCCCGTGTTATGGCTGACTTACGTTAAGATCCTCCCTTAGCATCATATCTTTCCTTAGAATCTAAACAGCAGTTTTTCAATTTTTGAGGAAGTGACGATTACAAACCTTACGTCTAAAAGATCCAAACCCATTTATTATTCATCGACTGGTTGATGAATGCGAAGAGTTATTTTGTAGCCTGCTGCGTCACGCCGAGACCCGGAATAGATTTCCACTAGAGCAAAACGTGCAAAGCCTATTCGACAGACCCACCGATTTCATGATGATATGTAAAGAGAGCTGAATCCGCTCTCACACACGAAGATAAAACTCCCGGCTGTATCTTTCCTCTCAGTTACACATACTTCAAACAAAGAATGATAAACAAATAATTTATTGATAACATTGCCTTGCAAACAGATAAAAACCAAGCGCGAGAATTGTATGAGTTGTAAATTGTATATATAGACCAGATAACCAGGGGACAATGCGATCGATAAATGCAGTATCGACCTCCTCTTCATTATTACATGTATAGAAAATGTATTTGTCAGACCGTAAGGTTTAAAAATAATTAAAACGTTTCAAGGAGTGTCATATGTAGTATTTTTATCGATTTAAGGTGGATAATTTAAATGAAAGAAAAAGAGGATTTAAAAAATAATTTGAAAGGAGTGTTTTATTTAGTACTAAAATAAGTCAACAGTTTTTTCATTGTTGAAAAAAAATAATATATTAAATAGTATTGCGCGTTTGAGAATGCAGAATTGGTCAGTGATAAGGGTGGGTATAAATATGGGTGTGATATGGCTGTAAAACAGTTTACGTTTCAAAGTGGTGTGGTGTGGTGTGGTGCGGTGCGGTGCGGTGCGGTGCGGTGCGGTGCGGTGCGGTGCGGTGCGGTGCGGTGCGGTGCGGTGTGGTGTGATATGATGTGGATGAATTATTGGTGTGATATTTTTGTTAGTAGTGGGGTACTAGTGCGATAGGGTTATATCCCAAAACTTCAACATCCCAATGCTACGACACATTGTTAAAACAACTCCTCATCACCCCCTTTAGATAATAGGATGGCCCGGGAAGTGCACTGAACTGAAACAACAGATAATGATACATCACCTGACTTAGCAGAGTAGAGGTTTTAGTAGGCAAGAGAGCAGTACTAGTTAGTTAATAAATCTGAAATATATATATAATACATTCGTGCATATTTCATGTAGGCAAAATTGTAAATTTTGTTTTCTTTTTTCACCTTGAAATGTTGTTCATTACGTTCATAGTATTCTGAATATACAAAACATAACTTATGCAAGCTTAACGTACATTTAATGTACATGTACATTAAAATATGTAATTTTACAATATAACATGGCTAATGAGTTATGAAATTTTGTGTTTATTGCTTAAAAGGGACCAACAAGCCAAAGAATTCCTTCAATTTTGATTTGCAAATATATACTATTAGTAATATGTAGCAAAAAATTCAAAATGAGAAAATGAATTGTATTATGCTTACGTGAATCTCTACTACCAAACATACTTGATCTACCAAATCAAGGAAATTGATAATGTTATGGTGTGGACATTGGCATTAATTGTTATAGTAGTGACACAATAATGCTAGTGACATGTTTAATAATAGCCAGTTTTATATGTTTACTTTAAAAGGTAATTTAATGAAATTTGTCAGCCAGATATGTTTAATGTTTAAAGAATATGTAATAGGCAAAAGATTTTCTTATAGATGTCCCTGTCATGTAAACAAAAACAGGTAAAGACTGCATGTTACGGCAGTGACACTGTGATGGTATATAATGCTCCAACAACAGCATAGAGTGACAGGGTTATGACTGTCAAATGTGCGGGTGAAATCTTGGACACTATAGGACATAAGTTTTATATAAATGTTCTCCATAAACTGTTATATGTAACTGGAAAAGATATGTATTTTTGTTAATAACCCTGCCTTAATAAAATATATAATTTATTGCTGAGTGGTTGGTTGTATTCATTACTGATTAATGGATTAAACCATTACAGCCTGAGGTAATCAGTATGCTGAAGTGAGGTAATCAGTATGCTAAAGTGAGGTAATCAGTATGCTAAAGTGAGGTAATCAGTATGCTAAAGTGAGGTAATCAGTATGCTAAAGTGAGGTAATCAGTATGCTAAAGTGAGGTAATCAGTATGCTAAAGTGTGGACAGTCAACCAGAAATGTTGTTGTTATAAGCTGTGGAAGTTTTGGGATGTGGAAGTTTTGGGAGGACACCGTGTGATATTGGTGTGATGACGGGTGTGACACTTGTGTAACACTGATGTGACATTAGGTGTCTTTGGCGTAATAATTGCCTGAGTTTTATGCGGGATATATACTGTGATATGTATGTGGTATATGTGGTATAATGGTGTGATCATGTCGGGATACTGGTGTGATATGTATGTGGTATATGTGTTATAATGGTGTGATATTGGTGTGATGACGGGTGTGACACTTGTGTAACACTGATGTGATATTAGGTGTCTTTGGCGTAATAATTGCCTGAGTTTTATGCGGGATATATACTGTGATATGTATGTGGTATATGTGGTATAATGGTGTGATCATGTCGGGATACTGGTGTGATATGTATGTGGTATATGTGTTATAATGGTGTGATATTGGTGTGATGACGGGTGTGACACTTGCGTAACACTGATGTGATATTAGGTGTCTTTGGCGTAATAATTGCCTGAGTTTTATGCGGGATATATACTGTGATATGTATGTGGTATATGTGGTACAATGGTGTGATCATGTCGGGATACTGGTGTGATATGTATGTGGTATATGTGTTATAATGGTGTGATATTGGTGTGATGATGAATGTGACACCTGTGTAACACTGATGTGACATTAGGTGTTTTTGGTGTAATAATTGCCTGAGTTTTATGCAGGATATATACTGTGATATGTATGTGGTATATGTGTTATAATGGTGTGATATTGGTGTGATCATGTCGGGATACTGGTGTGATATGTAGTTGTTATAGATGTTATAATTGTGTGATATTGGTGTGATCATGTCGGGATACTGGTGTGATATGTAGTTGTTATAGAAGTTTTAATGGTGTGAGATTGGTGTGATCATGTCGGGATACTGGTGTGATATGTATGTGGTACATATGTTATAATTGTGTGATATTGGTGTGATCATGTCGGGATACTGGTGTGATATGTAGTTGTTATAGATGTTATAATTGTGTGATATTGGTGTGATCATGTCGGGATACTGGTGTGATATGTATGTGGTATATGTGTTATAATTGTGTGAGATTGGTGTGATCATGTCTGGATACTGGTGTGATATGTAGTTGTTATGGATGTTATAATTGTGTGAGATTGGTGTGATCATGCCGGGATACTGGTGTGATATGTATATGGTATATTTGTTATAATGGTGTGATATTGGTGTGATCATGTCGGGATACTGGTGTGATATGTATGTGGTATATGTGTTATAATGGTGTGAGATTGGTGTGATCATGTCGGGATACTTGTGTGATATGTATGTGGTACATGTGTTTTAATTGTGTGAGATTGGTGTGATCATGTCTGGATACTGGTGTGATATGTAGTTGTTATAGATGTTATAATTGTGTGATTATGTCGGGATACTGGTGTGATATGTAGTTGTTATAGAAGTTATAATGGTGTGAGATTGGTGTGATCATGTCGGGCTACTTGTGTGATATGTATGTGGTACATGTGTTATAATTGTGTGATATTGGTGTGATCATGTCAGGATACTGGTGTGATATGTAGTTGTTATAGATGTTATAATTGTGTGATATTGGTGTGATCATGTCGGGATACTGGTGTGATATGTATGTGGTATATGTGTTATAATGGTGTGAGATTGGTGTGATCATGTCGGGATACTGGTGTGATATGTAGTTGTTATGGATGTTATAATGGTGTGAGATTGGTGTGATCATGTCAGGATACTGGTGTGATATGAATATGGTATATTTGTTATAATGGTGTGATATTGGTGTGATCATGTCGGGATACTGGTGTGATATGTATGTGGTATATGTATTATAATGGTGTGATATTGGTGTGATGACGGGTGTGACACTTGTGTAACACTGATGTGATATTAGGCGTTTTTGGTGTAATAACTGCCGGAGTTTTATGCGGGATATATACTGTGATATGTATGTGGTATATGTGTTATAATGGTGTGATATTGGTGTGATCATGTCGGGATACTGGTGTGAAATGTATGTGGTATATGTGTTATAATGGTGTGATGACGGGTGTGACACTTGTGTCACACTGATGTGATATTAGGTGTTTTTGGCGTAATAATTGCCTGAGTTTTATGCGGGATATATACTGT